TATATATATATATATATATATATATATATATATATACAGTACAGTATATAGTCTCACCGTGGCGGCCGGACCCTTGATATCAAAAACGGCGGCTGCCGCCACTTGGGATGACCGTTGCTGCTGCAGGGGCGGCGTTTGCCGCTGCTCACACGTGAGTCGGTAGCCCAATAATTCCCCGTGCAGCGAGTCGGCTTTCGGCGGCGCCCAACGCACGAAAATGCTCGTGGACGACGCATTGGTCGCCCGAACAATCGTAGGCGCCCCACTCGGCACTGCGAAAAAAAAAGGAGGAAAAATTGAGTAAATTAAAATTTGGATACAGAAAGGGTTTGTTTGTTATGACCCGCAGTCAGAGACACTTTTTTTGGCAAGAAATGTTCCCTTTCCAATTTACGAAAGAAAGAAAAAAACTTGTCGAATGATTTTAGCAATAATTCATTCGCTAAATTCAAGACATTAAACAAAGTGACACGTGTTTTTCATTATTAAAAACGCCCCCAATAATTTATTACGGCATTTCATCAAGCATTATAATACAACTTTTGTTTTCTATAATCAATTAAATTACAATAAGCGTCGCCATTGAAATACATGTATTAATCTAATGGCGATGACGCATGTTCAATTATCTCACATGAAAACCTCATCTGCATGCATAAATTGTAATTTCACTCAATCACCCAATAAAAGTATAATTAATAAGCACAATAAATCGTTCCTTCAGCGGAAAGCGAGAGGAAACTTATTCACAATGAACCGAAATTGAGCTAAAATATATAAATGTGTTTACATATACTGTACCAATAAAATTTAATGTCACCTCATCGTCAGTGATTATTTTTTCTATGAGCTGAGATTAGAGGAAAAAAACAATTTCGGCTGATGAAACGAAGTTTCTATCCTGGATAATATGCGATGAGAGAAACATTTCCACTGTTCACTCAGTTTCAAAATTTGATCCGGACAAACAGACAGACAGACAAGAAAGTGAGTTCATAAAAACGTGGTAAAATCAAATTGAGGTAACTTTGCTTGAAAGTTCTTCTGGAACATGAATTCTCACAAAATCCACTTTTTATATCATTTTTAATATATAAAAATGAATACTTTTCATACATTTGTTTATACTGTGTATAAATATATGCATTTTTGGAATAATTTTTCAAATTTTTAATATTTTTGTATATTTTCCTTTTTTCATACTATGCATATTTTTTATGGAATGAAATGATCAGTGCCTAGATACTGCGCAGGAAAAATTTTACTAAGTTTCGAGATAACATATGTGTTATCTCAACTGGGATAGCATCCAATGCATTATATCAGCGTCAACATACTTTTTTGCAACACACACTGAAAGAAATGGCAACATTTAGAAAGGTATTCTGGGTAGCAACAGAATGTTAACAAAGCGGAAAAAAACATTGAAGAGTAATATGACTACATGTGTTAATTATTGAATAAAATATGTGCTTTGATGTGTTGCAATGCAAGTGATATTGTGTCAAGTGCAAAAAGTTTTCTCTGTCACTGTTTCAAGTGTTTTTATATTGTCTGAAAGCTAGTTTTATCTTGAACATTCTTGTGATTTTACTTTCTGAGGGTGTTTTTGTGTGTGTGTGTTTTTTTTATTATTATGAATTTGAGTGATCATCCAAGCATCAGAGATGATTTTCTTCCTTCTATAAAAGCCATATAAAATGTAAACTACATTTTTGCGTTACTGCACCTCAGCAATCTGCTGGTATAGGTGTTTCTTACATCTGCAATTACAGTCCTATTTTTTTTAAGCAGTTAAATCTGCATGCAAATGTTCATTCCATTTGGCAGCAGCAAATTTAAATAAGCAGCCAACTCTGCTGTGAAAAAAAGTGGGGATAGAAAATGCAAGGAAAGAACAGCGGAAATTGCATCGCTTATTGTGCCCTTCATCATATTTCCTCCTCCCCTGGAACCCACTTGACCATAGGAAGTGTGTCCCAGAGCCCAGGTGGGTATAGTCTCCTTATATTCAGAGCAGGGGGTGTTGCAGTATATATCGAACAAACGGATGGATGGCATGACACACGTGCTTCTGGCATGACGATGATGATGGTCAGGCACCCTCACCCTCACTATTACCCCTCCCCCAATCCCTACTCATAAAAAAACAACCTCTTTTTTTTTTTAAATAATAATAGTATATATATACTTTTGATTGAAATGAGCAAGGGGTTTTTTTTTTGCAAGAAGGGGCACAAGCTGTAATTAATCTGAACACCGTTTCACCCCCACAAAGCTATTCAGAGAGTGTGTGTATGTGTGCTTTATTTCTCCTTCACAAAAAGTCGAATTTCAATACTGGGAACACCTTCATAATGGACTTGATTTGGGCAACATACTATAGTCTGTTGTGTGAAAAGTCTGTTATGCGAATCCATTTATTAAAAAGTTGAAATTTTTACTTTTTACAATTAATTTTAAACCAATAAAAGTCTGTTGGGTGGATTTAGTCCATTGTGCAGGAGAGAAAAGTCTGTTGTGCAAAAATTCATTGTTGCTGGAGGACTGTTCTGCAGGGTTCAATTGTAGTCAGTTGTGTGACAAGTCTGTTATGCGAATTCAATCATTAGCCGCAATCGGAGTCTTTAAAATTCGTTGATTCTTTCGTGTTGAAATATATTTTACTTGCTCTTTCTTTGGAAGCCTTACCAAAGGCTTCCCTGCTGCCATGTTCCCCAGCAGGATAATTTGTTTTACTGTATTTCATCGTATTCAGCTGTTTATTTCATATAGTTTTTTTGTTTTCTTTGTGTTGGCTCTTGCCCCACAATATTGCATAGTGTATACAGTAGAGTATTTATATATATATTCATATACATATATATAAATATACAGTACAGTATATAGTCTCACCGTGGCGGCCGGACCCTTGATATCAAAAACGGCGGCTGCCGCCACTTGGGATGACCGTTGCTGCTGCAGTGGCGGCGTTTGCCGCTGCTCACACGTGAGTCGGTAGCCCAATAATTCCCCGTGCAGCGAGTCGGCTTTCGGCGGCGCCCAACGAACGAAAATGCTCGTGGACGACGCATTGGTCGCCCGAACAATCGTAGGCGCCCCACTCGGCACTGGGAAAAAAAAAAGAAAAAGAAGGAAAAATGGAGTAAATTAAAATTTGGATACAGAAAGGGTTTGTTATGACCCGCCGTCAGAGACACTTTTTTTGGCAAGAAATGTTCCCTTTCCAATTTACGAAAGAAAGAAAGAAACACTTTTCGAATGATTTTAGCAATAATTCATTCGCTAAATTCAAGACATTAAACAAAGTGACACGTGTTGTTCATTATTAAAAACGTCCCCAATAATTTATTACGGAATTTCATCAAGGATAATTATCATACAACTTTTATTCTCTGTACACAATTAAATGACAATAAGCGTCGCCATTGAAATAATAATCTAATGGCGATGACGCATGTTCAATCATGTCACATAAAAACCACATCTGCATGCATAAATTGTAATTTCACTCAATCACCCAATAAAAGTATAATTAATAAGCACAATAAATCGTTCCTTCAGCGGAAAGCGAGAGGAAACTTATTCACAAAGAACCGACATTGAGCTAAAATATATAAATGTGTTTACATATACTGTACCAATAAAATTTAAAATCACCTCATCGTCAGTGATTATTTTTTCTATGAGCTGAGATTAGAGGAAAAAAACAATTTCGGCTGATGAAACGAAGTTTCTATCCTGGATAATATGCGATGAGAGAAACATTTCCACTGTTCACTCATCGTCTTATTCTTCTTCGTCCATCAGCAAAAGCATACAGAACAACAACAACAAACAATGAAACCCCCCACAATAATAAGAAAAAGCATTTCTGAAGGAACATATATAGAAGAAGAAGAAGAAGGACCATCGGAAAACCTCGTCGTCGTCGTCGTCGTCGTCGACCACGTCTCCGTTTGATCCTTTTGAAGCCGCAAATTCAACTGACCTCGTTTCATTCCTCTCTCTCTCTCTCTCTCTTCTCATTGATTGAATCCCCGAATAACCACCAACCAACCCCCCCCCCTTCTTTTTCTCTTACTGCATATATACTACACAAGAAAATTCAATTTCAAATCGTTTCCTCCCCCCTTTTTCGAGGCTCTTACATTCACTCACTCACACTCATCCCACCCCCCTCGGATCTGGAATGAAATCTTTATTTCCTGTTTTTTATTCATTATTATTCCGTTTCTCTCTTCTTCGCTTTTCACGGAATTTCTGCCACAAGTAAAAGAAAAGGAACACGTCATCAGCAGGGATGTATTTATAGCACAAAATTATTCCCCGTGCTGATGGTTCAGCAAACTTTATTTTTTTCAAAAACAAAAAATTAGTCAGGCATAAATGTGTTATTGAAACATCATCTGGAAACACAACTCATGAGTAGAAATAAAATGATGAATAAATATTGAAGAGATAATGTTTTTGATGATGATTACGCTCTTCAGTTCGTTGTGACAATGAGTCAGCAAGAAATTTTTTTTTTTTTACAAATAAGGGAAATTTCCATCAATTTTAGTGAAAAATGTGTTCTGGTAGTTTTTCAGGTCAGGTCTAAATTAAAGAATTAAAAATACACCAATCTTGACGATGAATTATTCCAGATTGAAATACAATTAATCCTTCTCGAATATGGACATTAAAGCAGGACTTCTTTCGCTTTCTGTGTTTTGGCTAAATTTTCTGCACACGCGCAGATCATTTCAATTATATTTAAAACAACATTTGTAAAATTTTCCATGCAAATATACGAGTACAAAAACGGGTTTTTGCAAAGCCCCAAGAAGTGAGGAAAAACAATTTCAAATTCCTCTTCCTCGATGGTTCACAAAGAAAATTCAATTTCAAATCGTTTCCTCCCCCCTTTTTCGAGGCTCTTACATTCACTCACTCACACTCATCCCACCCCCCTCGGATCTGGAATGAAATCTTTATTTCCTGTTTTTTTTTCATTATTATTCCGTTTCTCTCTTCCTCGCTTTTCACGGAATTTCTGCCACAAGTAAAAGAAAAGGAATACGTCATCAGCAGGGATGTATTTATAGCACAAAATTATTCCCCGTGCTGATGGTTCAGCAAACTTTATTTTTTTCAAAAACAAAAAATTTAGTCAGGCATAAATGTGTTATTGAAACATCATCTGGAAACACAACTCATGAGTAGAAATAAAATGATGAACAAATATTGAAGAGATAATGTTTTTGATGATGATTACGCTCTTCAGTTCGTTGAGACAATGAGTCAGCAAGAAATTTTTTTTTTTTTTTTACAAATAAGGGAAATTTCCATCAATTTTAGTGAAAAATGTGTTCTGGTAGTTTTTCAGGTCAGGTCTAAATTAAAGAATTAAAAATACACCAATCTTGAAATGAATTATTCCAGATTGAAATACAATTAATCCTTCTCGAATATGGAAATTAAAGCAGGACTTGTTTCGCTTTCTGTGTTTTGGCTAAATTTTCTGCACACGCGCAGATCAGTTCAATTATATTTAAAACAACATTTGTAAAATTTTCCATGCAAATATACGAGTACAAAAACGGGTTTTTGCAAAGCCCCAAGAAGTGAGGAAAAACAATTTCAAATTCCTCTTCCTCGATGGTTCACGAAAGCAAAAGTCATCTCCATCGATCAAGCTGATCATCATGGGCTAACACAAAGTAAAAGTGAGAGGCTTATCTCAGAAGTCTCACCAAAAAATTAATAATAATATCGTCACTTGTACGAAATGCATATTTCATATTGCGTTTTCTTGAAAATTCTGCCTAAAATAATTAGGAAGCCAAAAACTAACTGAAAGATTCCAACAAAAAATGGAATAATTATGAAAGAGGATTCTAATAACGTTTAAAGTCCATCATTCGATCAGTACTGGGATCCTGTCAGTGCTGAAGCCTTATTATATTTTCGTAAAGCAAAAAAATGAACCAGTTTCAAGTTGCCACATTTATTTATGTATTACTGTACTAGTAAATGTACTTAATGCATAGTTTTCACTTTTCAAATTAGAAAAAAAGTCAGCCTTCATTTTCTGCAAATTAATGCACACAAGAAATTCCGTTAATGCTGCATATTAGTCAAATGCAATATTGTAGCCAGCAATATGTGATACCCCTCATTTGATTTTTTTCTCGCCAATAAAAAAACAAAATAATCGCCTATATTCATACACTATTATTATATGTAGTAAAATGAAAGAAAACGAAAGTCATCAGTTATAGGTATATAATCAGCAATTATAAATCATTAATCGAGCTCATTATTTCTCACAATAAGCCAGCAAAAAATAAAAAAACAAAACCACCCTTCGAGAAACCCCCCCCCCCTTCCCCAAAAAAGTACATGATGTTTTGTGTTTTTTTTTGTGTTTGTTTGTTTGTTTAATATTTACCTTCTCGCATGGTGGCCAAGGCGTAGGACGCCAGAGACGGTCTGCTCGGGCCAAGTCCGTTGACTGCAGCCACGCGGAAGGTGTAGAGCGTGAACGGCTTCAGGCCCGTCACTTCGACGCCGGTGCTGTTGGTCGTCACGAGGCCCAGGGACGTCTCGTCATCGTCTGCATCAGGACCCCATTCCCCTTCACCGACCCTGACGATGACCAAAAAAAATTAAAAAAAAATGAAAATGAATAAACAGTACAAAATATTTAAAAAAAAATGGTTGGTTCTCTATATATACATATATATATACATCATCCCAAATCTCAATAAGATGACCAGGATCAAGTTTTTTTTTTAGCCATATATATTCAATAAAGAGACACTTTCTGAAATCTTTAAGGATCAAGATAAACTGTTGGTCTTATATGATTTATCATCAAAGATTCTCTCTATAAATTGTTCATTCAACTATAAACCTCATACAGAAACAATCTGAAGACCTAATTGTGCTTTAAATTAATTGCTACTGATATTTTGTTTTCAATGTCAGGGAAGGAATGGGTGAGTGCATACATGTCAGATGTCCAGTTGTATTTCATGGATTGTATTTTCTTTTATTTTTGTTATCCATTTGTGCTCTGTTTCCTGCTCAAAAGTGATTACATGCCTTTGAGTTGATTTGGGTTGATGGGTGGGGAGGGGGTTTGGATGTGGAAATCTTGATTGAACCTTGTGAATGCTGAAAAGCGGCAAATAAAGTGTTCTGTTCATTCATTCATTCATTCATTCATTCATTCATTCAGTATATAGATAAATTATCCTACTCATATCACATTCTTCCTAAATTGTTTAATCAAGTAAAAATTATTTGGGAACAGGCTGAATACACTTTGAGCCTTTTTTGTACTCAGTTATTACTTTGTGCTGTGACTTTCAATTCCTTATTTGTGGATTCATTTACACCCTTATTTATTTATCTTCAATACTTAATAATAAGTCATTGAAGGTTCTTTCAAAATAAATTGAATCTCACTTCCAGTGACTCTTTAGTTATTTTCAATAATTTTACTCTACTTTGTATTCCATTAGGATAAGCATCAACAAGATAAGATTTATAGTTCTTATATGGCCACAGCTGTGTCAATGTGAAAAGATACTTGTCTTTTACAAAAGCAGTTACTGTACATGCAGTCAACCCCTGCACAACGGACTGCCTCTGGAGCCAGTTTATCCTCTTGCATAACAGACAAATCCGCACAACAGACTTCAGTCCCTCACATCTCCCTTGCTTCCCAACTGAATTCTCATAACCTTCTTCTCACCTGATAGACTATAGTCTGTTGCACAAATCAAGTCAAGTTGTGATGTAGGGATTGACTGTATCTATATGTTTAACATCCCTGACAAGTGTTCAACTGAGTCCAGACTGACAATGAGTGGTGAAAAAGTGTTCAGACATTCCTTTATAGATGTGGGCCTCTTGGAAAAGGCTTCATTATATGGCTGTTCATGAACATAAATGGGACTGGGATGGCCAAAAGTTATTAGACCAGCGACTAGGCAATGATGATGAAACAGTTCTCTGCGCAATACAGTTGCTATAGTCAGATTTGACATTTGAGAAACTATATGCACAAGAATGGGGTATTCTTAACATGTTCTGGGACACACTAAATATTATACAGATGATTCTTGGAAGGCTGGACTGTGTCAAATACTCAAATGAATGCATGGGGAAATGTGAGAAAAAAAGTGTGAACCCTGTGAATGCTGAAAAGCAGCAAATAAAGCTTCCATATCACAATCAATTAATCAGTACAGTACAAAAAAAAAATGAATCTTAGTTTTTAAAAGCGTATTTCCTCAATTCTAGAAAAATTGAAATAATGCTTTTCAATAAACGCAATTTCATTTAAATGTGTATCACCAAAGCTAATCATCTTGTAATTGAAGTGCATTTTCATATGAGGTTTGAGAATTTGTAAAAAAAATTAACTAGATATAAGTAATATATACATATAGCATTTAAAAATGGACAAAATTCAGATATGCATTAATTTCATCAACTTAATATTTCTTTCTTCAAATTATCTCCACTTTCTTAATTTATTATAAAAATTAAAGATATAATGCTCATAATAAAAAATAAAACTGCACCCCCCCCCCCCCCCAATAATTGAGAGCGACATCTAAACCAGCATGATTTTAATGAAAAGGACCAGAGACAAACACACAGAAAAAAAAAAAGAAGCTGCAGTGGCTTCAAGGCCTGGTTTTTTTTATAGGAGCTGGAAAAAAGTGCGATAAGGCCAGAACGGTATGAAATTTCCCCATTTAACCAGCTCAAGCTTGAATCTGTCAAGACTCTTTCTATGATATAATGGCAATCCGCCACGGAACGGAAAATGGAGGAGGAAGCTGTAAATCTTTCCGAATTGCTTGTGCATGTTTTATCGAAGCACAGGCCATCTTTTCTGACTGGGCCAGGATTTTCCACAACCAATGTCGTTTATGACGGGCAATATACATTTTTTTTTCTCTTTGCAAAAAAAATGATGGAACATTTTCGCGAAAATTATAATGTGCAGTACTGAATAATTCAGACTTCACGACTTATTTTACAAACCACAAACATTCTCTTCCCCTAAACCGAAAAAAATAAAAGTCCACAGCAATAAATTTGGAACAAGGGCGATAAAAACTATCACGCTTTCATTTTCAGAAGCCGATGAGTCAATTGATTTTGATGTTATTAATCATCATAAAACAGAATATTTCCTTCTCTCTCTACAAAAGCACCATATTTACCGCTGTACTAAATTTTTCCATGGCGTTGAACAGGAAAATTGTCTGTCCCCCATCTCCTGTCTTTAATATTTATTTCTGTTGCAAAAATAATCAATGAATAATGAGCTACTGTATAATTGAATGGAACATCTTTCTGGGCAATTATTCAAAAATTATTGAACTATTTTGTTGACAGCAAAAACGTATTTTTTGGACAACCAATCGAGTCTCGCTTCATCAATTCCCAAGAATTTTCGTGTTCAGTAGAGCGACATCTACCTGCTGATGACGCGGGCATTCTTCACGTCAGCGATGAATTAAATTCACGCGCATTCGGGTGATGGAATACGCGATTGCGTAAATTCACATCAATCGCTATAATTCAATCAATCAGGGAACTCCGACAGGGCTTTAAAAAAAGAAGAAGAAAAATAACCTATATATAGGTTCCCGATGCAATCCTCGTTTTCCAGCAATTCATTTCCCTCATCTATATACATTTCCATGTACTGCACTGTAAGTTCGTCGGATACAAGCGAATGAGAAGTTGGCGGGTGGACGAAAGCACAGCAGCACGGGTATTGCGAAAGCCAAAAAAAAAAAAAAAAGGGCGAGATGATGTGCGAAAGCGGACAGGATGCAGATGCGCAGCAAGGAAGAGGTTCATCAACCATTAACCTCCTTCAGTTGGGCAATCCATCACACACACCTTATTTCTGCTGTGTCTGGAAATGGCGTTTCTCTTCCACCTTCACCCAGCAGCAGCAAGGAGTCAAAGTCAAGTCACTCATTCCCCAAGCGAGTCAAAGAGCAAAAGCAAAAAAAAAATAATAATAATTAAAAAGTATAAAGGGGTACTGCTTCAATATTATGCGACCATGCAGCCAAAAAAAATGTAATGCTCTCAATTAGTAAAGGACATTTAACTGACCATCACAAATGGTAACACTGTTTTTTTTTAGGTTAGCTTTAGGTCAATTTGTTTATAGTTCTTTTGACATCAACTTTGTGAATTAGAATTTTCCTTCACACCCTCTCATTTTGAAACAGCGCTTGATGCTTAATATGATGAGTGGGGAAAAAATTACAATCAGACCCAGAGATGTGGACATAATTGGTGTATCAATAGTGTCCCCAAGTCAAAATGTCCCTAAGTTGAGTCTTTTATTACTCATTGACTTACATTATATAATTTTCAGTTGGTATTTTATGGAAGAAATATTCTTTAGAGTTCCCTGAAAAAAATTGTTTGCCACTTGAATTTGAATTAGTGAATACATTTTCAACTCAATAAGAACATTAGGAGCATTGAATAGTGTATCTCTGTGCTGTACACTGAAATTTTTGAATCTTCAAAAATAATATTCAAGCAAAAAGTCCCTCTATGCTGGAGGTCATTTTTTTTAAATTAGCTAAATGGATGGTAATTTGGTGAGAGAAATGCCCAAGAACTTTTCTTACATCAATTTTAGGGTTGGAAATATCTGTTTCTTGTAATTTTGCCTGAAATGTATTTGCAATTTCATCACAAAATGTCCCTAATGAGTCAGTGTCCTCATGTTGAGCCTTATTTATTGATTTTTTTTGGGAAAATAAGTGTCCCTATGTCAAATTGTCCATTGGTCAGGGTGTCTGCATGTGGGGGTCTCACTGTAATTAAAATGTATAAAGGGGTACTGCTTCAATATGCGACCAGCCAATAAATGTAATACTCTAAATTAATAAAGGGCATTTAACTGACCAGCACAAATGGTAACACTACTTAAGGTCAATTTTTTTAGTTTCTTTTGAAATCAACTTTGTGAATTACGACTTTTCCTTCACACCCTCTCATTTTGAAACAGCACTTATTGATGCTGGATGATGAGGGGTGGGGTGGGGGTGGGACAAGACTTATTTGCTCATCTCCTCAGCACTGCTTCTAATATGGCTGCTGCATGGTGGTGCAGGTGCTCTTGACCCACACAAAAACACAGCACCATCAGACTCGGTGAATGAGAGAGAGAGAGAGAAAGAGTGACGAAACACCCAGAGTGTAATCGGTTATGCTGCGCTTCTCCGGGGCCCATCAAAAAGACCCACTGACAACAAGTCCGTGTTGCATCATCATGCCCATGCACAAAACGCTGGCTTCCTTTGATCAAGGACAAGAAGAAGAAGAAGAAGAAACCATCATCCTCTTTATTATGTTCAACTCCAGGATGATGATGATGAATCATTCGAGTTTTAGAACAAAAGAGAAAATAAATGAGGCCAGGAACTGATGGGTGGGGTGCACATTTGTTTTTTTTTTTCTCCTACTTTTTTTCTGGGTGGAAAGTTGCAAAAGTTGATGATGGGAAAGGTGCAAAAACCGGTCTGACTCCATCTTATCTTTCTCTATTATATCCAAATAAGATGGGATTGGATAACTGCGTCATT